GCCTCTGGAACAACTTACCTCCGGAGATTCGCGCTGCTCCCTGGATGTTTAGGCAGGCCTTCCCTCCCCCCAGTAATTCCTAATTTTCTTCACTCTTCTCTTTTATACTCTGTTTTCTTGCCATCTTGGAGAAAAAACTTTTTCTTTTTTCTATTTCATGAAAATTATGTTATATATATACTTGTTTATTTTGTGTGTTGTAAGCCGCCTAGAGTGGTTGTAATTGACCAGATAGGCGGGGAATAAATAAATAAATTATTTCTCCAGAACAAGTTTATTCCTACCTCTAGTCCACTTGGGTTTCAACATGGTTTTTCACTGTCTTCGAGTTGAGCAATGACTTCTAACTGGGTTGTTGTTCAACCCTGAGTTGTAATGTTGGATTACATTCAGTTGAGTGTGGAGAGAAGTGACATATTTTTAAATGTAGTTGCATCGTATACAGGTGTTCAGTGCATTTTTCTCTCTTTGCAGGAAAATGGATCCTACTCTTCATACCCTTCTTCTCCAGACCTCTGACTTTGCAGTTGTGCCATTATATGTGGTCTCCCCACCACCCTACAATGTGCTGCTTGCTCATACCATACATACAAAGCTGGTTGGATTTTTAGAGATCAGTGGCAATTTATTCCTCCTCACTATCAGATATTTATAAAGATACAACAATCAGAGGACTGAATTCCAAGAAACCTTCGGAACTGTGAATCCAATGGAAAGGTGCTTTCTGAACATGAGAATATGAATTATTTTTTTCTGGATATTCTCTCCACTCCTAAATACCAGTGTCCCAAAAAATTAATGGACCGAGATATCAGATCCTGTAATTTTTTCAGTGCCCTGTTTTAGACTGGCTTAGAAGACACAGCCTGTGTGGACAGGGTTTTATTGGATTTGCACATTGAATCCACCTGTAGCGCCGATAGAGTCAACTGAATTTCCTGTAGAATGCTTGGGAGGCTGGCCGTAGCCCTGCTGTAAGGCGTAAGGCAGCCACAAAGTTCTGCTGCTAAGCTTGGATTCTGATCATCTGTCTTTCTTTCTCCAGAAGATGTGAGATAGAACAGTGCTGCTGCTGCTTTCCTACTGAACAATAAAATGGAAGGACATCCTATTGTAGTCGCTCGTATCCCCTAGTATTTCTGCACTTTTCTTTGAATGAAAAAAGAAGTGTGATGAATGTTGATTGCCATCTGGTGGCATACACAACAATACCCTCTAATTATTCTGATTTTTATAATTCTATGGGGGAAATAAATAATGCAGCTTTGGCTTTCAAGGTTTATTTGTATCTGCCTTCTAGAATGAGCCTCTTAACTTCTCTTCTAATGTATCAGAGTTTTCAGTTTATCCGCTTTCCTATCCTTTCTAAACAGCTGAACAGGCTGACATTTTTAAAAAAATCTGCTTTGGGCAGAGGAATGCTGTGCATGGGCTTGGCTGAAGAATGTATCAGGATAGGGAAGTGCACAGAAAGATGCATTTCACATTTGTATAAAGCAAATAGGCAGACATGCTCTCAGCTGCTAGTCTCAGAGGAACAGGACAACATGATCAAGAACACATCCACAATCTGATGTTTGGTGTTTAATAAAATTATGAAACTGCAGTAGGAGCAAATGATATAAATGCAGATCAGTTGGGCTACACAGAATTAGGAAATGGTTCATAGAACTATGTTGTAAATCTGTTATCAAAACCTATGTTTCATTCAGTCATTCCACACCACTAATGATATACTGTATAGGAAGTGCAGTGGCTAGTGTGACATTCGCTGTCTAAACATGGGCTGGGATACAGTGGGGTCTTGACTTGAGAACTTAATCCGTATTGGAAGGCGGTTCTCAAGTCAAAAAATCTGGAAGTTAAGTCATCTGATGTTTGGTGTTTAATAAAATTATGAAACTGCAGTAGGAGCAAATGATGATATAAATGCAGATCAGTTGAGCTACACAGGATTAGGAAATGGTTGATAGAACTATGTTGTAAATCTATCATCAAAACCTATGTTTCTTTCAGTCATTCCACACCACTAATGATATACTGTATAGGAAGTGCAGTGGCTAGTGTGACATTCGCTGTCTAAACATGGGCTGGGATATAAGTTATAGGAAAGGGGCATCTATGTCCCTACATTTTGAGTGAGAAGAGAGAGAACCATGCAGTTTGCTTTTTTTAAAAAAAATTGAGATATAAATTAAGCCATAACATTTTGCATTAAAAGTCTTCAGCAAAGTTAGACGCTTAAAATGTATGCACACTTGGGTAAAAATTCTCTTTAAACAACTTGAGGGGATTTTTAAAAGCCTTTGTATGAATATAACGACTGACCACCAGGTTCCACATAACTTCACTAATCTTTCTTCCAGCCAGTTGTGTTTTGCTTGACTTTTTCCCAGCAAACACACATTCCAGGATCAGATGAGTTTTACCAAAAAAAAAAAAACTAGCCCAAGGAGCAGGGTTAGAAAACCTCAATTTCCACCCCATAATTGCCATTCTACATGATCCACTTTGTAAAAAGCACGCGTAGAGACTTCAAGTTTTCAGAAGATGGTAGGACTGGGAGGTAGAACCTCTACATCCAAGAAAAGTTATAATAAAAAGATGGCCAAAAATGCACAAGAGGACCTACAATCACCATCATTTGTTTCTGTGGTGAGATAGCATGGAAATCTCGCCAGAACTGCTTCACCCCTCAAGATGGATTCTGGAAGATACACAAGATGATTATTAAAAGCCTTCAGGAAGTGAAACTCCTAACTAGATTAAGATCTACATCTCTTCTTACCCTTCTCACTAATGTAAAATGTAGCATGTGCAGGCTGAAACCAACAGGTGTTTAAATGAAACAAGTTTACCATAAAAGGTGGTTCCTCCTAAGCTGAAAACAAATTGTTCTGAAAGCTATCAGAGCATACTTGTAGCACCTATATAGTTTTTGAAAAATTCAAATTAATGAGAGTACTGGATCAGTTCCCAATAACCTAGCCATAGGGTAGTCAAAGGTTTAAAGGACCATTGTTAATGTTTTTATACAAACCTTGGAAATGACTGTAGGGCTGTTCATGTTGCTTGGAGAACACCATTATTGCTCTTCCTCCTGCCTTTAAAAATAGGACTACTGCACAATTGACACCAACAATACACTTTTATACTCCCATTTTAAAATCAGACCTGTTTTGAGCTGGTTTCTAATAGGACAGGAGAATTCTTCTGATGCATTTTTTTCAGTTTCTCATTACCGAAGCAGAGAAGGGCAACTCCAGAATATCATGGCCGTGTTGTGATCACATTTTAATGTAGTGAATTATATTATAGCTCAAAGAACTGGGGTCAAGTTCAGAGACAACTTATGCAGTCTACTCCAACTGCTACCTGCATTAGGCATGGCACACACAGAACCAGCAGAAAAAAATGCCACAATGGAAGATATTCCCAAGGACCTCAGCCCCACCAGTTTTACATTTACACCTAACGTTTTAAAAAGGAACCAAGCAAAAGATCCAGTTTCCTCCATTTAGAAGTAGACGACTAGAGGAGAAAATAGTAAGCCGCCACTGCTACGTATGTTGTTTTAAGTAGAGCGGCTGGAACATAAGAAGGACAGCCAAACACAAAAGCTGGCATATATATATGTATTTATTTATTGCTGTGTTTTTAAGGAAATCAAAGATGCATAATGGGAGCCCTCCCAAAAGCCACTCACTCCTGACTAGCAATTAACACTTAAGAATAACGTTTAAAGAAAAGCATATTTACCAGATATGTGCATGGAACAAGTATGTACAATGTAAATAAATTTTGCTCAGAAGTGTACATTTCAATGTTGGAGTTCAACGTTGAACAAAAGTCCAAACTCCTTTTTTTTTTGATAGCATCAAGACAATACCACTTACCGTACCTCCATGCAAACATAACAGGAAGCAGTCACGCAACTGCTAGATATTCCACAATCTTCATATTACAATTAACAGTGGACATAAGGCAACTGGGAACAATTAAATTCAAACAACTGAGTCATTCTGACGTCATACCGCAAAAATAAGCTATATGTGACAGTAACTGAAACAGGCAGTTACTCAGCACTCACTCACAACTAAACATTTTTCTGCTTATCCTTTTGAGTCAATAGCACTTTACCCAATGTGGTGCCCTTTTAAAACCGCCACCACAATCACCTGCATTTCCATAGATACGATTTATCTCTATGCGGCAGAAAAACTATCATGCTTCAAATAACCTGTTGAGAAAACTAGTAAGAACTGTTGTTTATGTCCCATACCGCTTCAGAATTTATGTTTCTCAGGAAGTATGTAGTCACGATCATGCCCCTAAGCTCTTCATACAATCTTCTCTCTAAACAGCATTATTCAGAAAAGTAACAGGGCTGCAATAGCACTCAATACAATCTTTCCTGCAGGGACATACCTTGAACCCACCTTAATAACTTATTAAAAGGTTTCTCAGAAAAAGCAAACCATAAACTATTCAGGAAGCACTAGAAATTATTCTTCGCCCTTCAATAACTGAACCGGATCTTCCTGAGAAATACTCTTTAAATCAGATTATTATACAAATCACCTTCTCTTCTAGACAACGACATCTACAAATCACAGGCCATTATTTCCAGAGTGATCATTGTTGCTCTAGTCTTTAACTGCATTAATGCACAGGCACCCAGTCGTGTGTATCTGTGAGCCGTAAACATAACATGTCAAGGCAAATCTCCAGCTCTCTGCTGACTACATGCCATCTTTAAGACTGGCTTCAAAGACATGGGGGCGGGGGGAGAGAAGAAGACCCATGTGTGTGGTGTAGTATTTTTTTAAGCAAAATTCTGAAAAAAGATTTTCCAGGCAAATCTGTCTGGTTTTTCTTAAGAGGAAAATATGAGATCAAGTTGAAGATTTGTATTTTGCCAGTTGTTAAAGGATTCTCCCACCTCCAAAGAGCTGAGATGTAAACTGGGAGAATTTCTAGACTGCACACTTTAGAAGGGATGACCTCCAACGGTCTTCCAATGCTATACAGATGACAGCAACCTCTCCGAGTGGAATGAAATGTGGCATATGGGCAGACAAAAATCACAAAGGCACCTTCCACGGGCATCCCTCCCAGTTGGATAAGGTGTCGCTCTGAATGTCAGGTAACTCACAATAGTTTTCAAATCCATAATGCCGCAGGATTGGCAAAAAAAAAAAAAAAAGCCCCTTCTAGGTAGAATCAATTCTTTTAGGACAGATTTTTCTCCTTTTCAGTCTTCAATTAATCACTACATGTGTAGCCCTAATGAGCCAACTAAGAGTTCCTAACGGGAAAATAATGGCCGCAATCCTGCATATAGTTCAGCTACTCACGTCTTATCGACTACAAGGGCATTTTGAGTAGCTTAATTGTGTACATGACTGCAGTCATGACTTTCCACGGTCACATCAAACTACTCATAATTGCTTGTTTCATTTCCAAGAAGAAACATCAGACCAATCAAGCCTTAAAAGGCAAGACAGCACGCAGACTGAACCCTGTGGCTGTTACTGCTCCACCATTATTCACTATCTTTCAGCCTTCAGTTTTAGGAAGCCATGGACAAATACAGAGAGAGGATAGAACAATATAACAAGTCAGAACAGAACAAGATCCTTTAGGAAAGACAAGGCTACGATATGAGATAACCAAGACAAGGAGTATTTAAAAATCCCTGGTGTCAGGCCCTTTTGTTAGTACATGGACAACATAAATCTAAGACACAATTCATTCTGGTTCAGGGCACTGAGAAGGGAGAAATCAATTGCAAGGTAGCCAGGTAGGATAAGAAGGGCCATAAGTATCCGCAATATAATAGCTGCCAAAGTTTGCATCACTGACATAGGGAGCTGGCTGGTAATAACAGGTGACACTGGTGGCATTAGGGATAATATTCTGCTCTACCAGAACTCTAAGGGCCAAAAGGGTGATGAGATTTAACGTCTGCCTTCGCTCATGGCCCATGAGGCACACGGTGCTCTCGTTCACCACTCTGCGCAAGGTCATCAGGTAATCATATTTGCTTCGGTCCCCTTCAGCAAAGTGGTTCTGGAGGTACGTCTCTAATTTATGCTGCTGTTCTAGGATGTCTGGAAAGTCTATAAAAAACCTGGAGCACATGTAACGCTCTAAGGTTTTTATCTCTTCTTTGTCCATGGGCTTGAAGTCTCTCACGAGAAGGTTGCTGTACTTCAGGAGCCCCCCGCCTCTAATTTCTTCAGGATTCTTTGTAGTTATCAGTCTCTTCTTGAGGTGGTCAAGAGCTGCCTCAAAGTCACCGTACATACTTTCTCCAATCACAGTGGGATGGAAGTGCTCAGACATTGGGTTTTCCGAGCAGTTGTAGTAAAAAAGCAGCGAGTCTAGTATTATTTGAAAAGAATCCACACTAAACTCAAACTGCCGCCTTATACGATCCACAAACTTGAACTCTACATTCCTGCCATGCTTGTTGAAAAGAGAGATTAAACTCCATCGGTCAATGTCAGTGCACACCTTCACCAGCTTTTCAATATAGGCTTCCTTAAGCGTGGCCAGGCCGATCTTCAGTTTGTTCACTCCTGGAGGCAAGAAGTCTAACAGGGATTGCAAAACCATGTCTCGAACTAACTGGAACTCTTTCTCACTTGGGAGGGACACTTGAAAGACAAGATCCAGATCCTTACAACCCAGACCGTTATCTTTCACCAAGACGTGACCAGCTGCAGAACCATTCAGGCGGACATCACGGACTTGAATGTTTGCTTCACCCAGCCTGCTGCGAACGGTATGGATAATATCTTTCAGGGTAATCTTCAGAGTGGGGAAGTTGCCTCGTCCATGAATGGGTACCACCTCTGACAAGACCTCATGCAGGCGACTGACTTGGTCCCAGCTAAGCACGCTGCAGGAGATGCAATCAGCTTTCGGTCCATGATCTGCCATTGTAGATTAGGGTCTGAAGGTAACTAGAAAAGGAGGGAAATGTTTTAATTAAACGGTTCAAGCATACCAATAAGACAGACATGAAAGATGAAACTTTGCAGTGAGTGGAGGGGGAAGCATTTCAATAAAGAGACAAGAACTTGGATGCTTGGTTCCTTGTTGCCACCATAGGCGGACCAACCCTGGTTCCTCAGGGTCTATTCACTACAACTCTGGCACCCACTCCGACCTTTCCGTGCAGTTCCTTTCAACTGTGATAGCAGTATATTCTAAACAAACTTGTCGTGGGAGCATATGGCCTTAATACTCTTATCTGGGTTGGAAACGTATGGCCCTCCAGATACTGTTGGGCTGCAACTCCCATCAGTTCTAACCAGCATAGTCAGCAGTGAACTGTAAGGACCTTTTAGGATCTTCTGCAGTGGTCTCTCCAGCAACCTAACAGCCTTTAACTTGGCAGAACTCTTGCTTTTAATGAGGTTTCACAAGTTGCCCGTTGACTCCAGCTATTTTTGCAGTTTGCAACAGCACTCTTGAAAATCCACCTTGCCAACATTGAAATTTGGGGGGGGGGGCAGTGCTAAGGTTTGAACCTGAGACTTTTTGCATGCAAAGTAAGTACCACATCACTGACCTATGGCTCATCCCAATTCTATATTAGCATACTTAAGAAGCCCACTCTCAAGTCCAAATTATATTATGTACTATGATCTGGGCTTTCAGCACTGGAATATCAAGATGCCATGGGGATTTAAAACACACTCCACACTGCCTCATTTCTGTAGCCAGCCTTTTTTTTTCCAAACAATATCCTTCCACCTCTGAAACAGTGCATGGCTATGTCTGGTACCGAAAACGTAGAAATTACATTCACGTATGGAACTGTTATTGACAGTGAGTTACTCTAGAGCTCAGACGACTTGACTGAAAAGGCAGGGTCCATATGTCAAAGTCTTTCCAAATTCAGTCCCTGCCATTTCAAGCAACAGAGAAAACCTGGGCTTTGTTTTTATGGGCTGGAACATCAAGATGCCATGGGGATTTAAAACACACTCCACACTGCCTCATTTCTGTAGCCAGCCTTTTTTTTCAAACAATATCCTTCCACCTCTGAAACAGTGCATGGCTATGTCTGGTACCGAAAACGTAGAAATTACATTCACGTATGGAACTGTTATTGACAGTGAGTTACTCTAGAGCACAGAAGACTTGACTGAAAAGGCAGGCCATTTCAAGCAACAGAGAAAACCTGGGCTTTGTTTTTAGTACTTTGCTTTTAGTTGTTTTTGGTTGTGTCTACATAAGGACTGGTGCACACATATACTACATTACATTCACAAGACTTCACCTCCCAAACGTATGTTATGTATACCTACATATCATATGTTTGGGAGGTGAAGTCTTGTAAATGTAACCATCTTACCACTTCCTTAACAACCATCCTTGTTCTCAACTGTATGCGCATGCACAGTAAGGCAGGGTGGAATGGAGATCCTGACACGAGTTTGAAAACCAGCCAGTAATGTGTAGAGTCTCCACCAATGCATATAGAGGGAAGACACATTCGGAAATTAGGACGGCTCAAAAGTATAGTAAAGTATATCTTACAGATATTTCGTATCTGAAAACAGCAAAATCGTTTACCTTCCATAAAAGGGAATACCTAACTGTGCTGTACAGGTCGTATCCACTCATGAGTAGCTGATGAAAAAGTAATGGAAAACACTGCAATGTGGATTAGGGGCACACATGGGAGGTTTCTTTGTGCCTTCAAGACATTCTTGCAATGTTACTACTTTTCTAGGTCTAGAAAAGAGTGACTAGCCATTGGCAAAAGACTAAGCAAAAGACACAGATACTGTAGATATTTTTATCTTAGAACTGCAGAGCTGGAAGGGACACCAGGAATCATCGAGTCCAGCTGCTACCAAGGAGGCAGCGGAGTGGCAAAGCCCAGCCTTCCCTAACACACTGACTTCTACATGTCTTAGACTACAAATCCCATCACTCTGCTGAGGCTGATGGGAGCCGGAGCTCAAACATCTGGAGGAAATCCAGCCAGGAAAAAGTTGCTCTGACTGCTTTGAATGCCACCTGCCTTTAAATAGGAAACAGTGACCACCCCATCGCAAGTTTCATCCAAACAGGCTTTTTTTTTCAGTCAAAGTGACCGAGCTGATATTCAGAAAAGCACCAGCAAGCTTTCCGTCACATGTGACAGAAGTCTTAATTATCTGGGTTACATCCTGCAACCATGCCTAGTTGAAACCCTTCATCAATGGACATTTTGAAGCGTTATGGGAGAAAACTTGCCCTAATCTCTTCAAGGCAGCTTTGCTGGGAGGACAGAACACAGAAGAGATACAAAAACAGTTAAGCTGTTATGAGGTGGCTCATGAGCTCCTAGAAGGACTTCCAAGTTTGGAATCGTTTTTATCCTGTTAAATATTTAGTCACATCAAGTGGAAGAACCTCATGGCTTGTCAGACTACCACATTCAAAAATGTCCCAGCCCTGTTAGTTATAATAGGCGTCAGACTCCAGTTAATAGGGACTGCTAGGACATTGAGCATACAAAATATGCATGTACTCTGCTGCTGGATTGTGGTCTTTCCCTATAGAAAAAAAAGGTCACTATGTGAAACAGTTATTACATGATGCATCTTTTTTTTTGCTTCCCATGTCATAAAACAGGAACTTCTATAACTTTGCAGTCATTACTCCCCTCCTCATTTTATCCAGAGTTAGCAGTTCAATATCTACCAAGCCTTACAGGGATGTTTCATTTTACCCATGTATCAATGATATATAGCAACCTCATATGCCTTTAAGAGGCTTTTAGCTGAGGAGGACCTTTCTCAACTGGAGTTGCTGTCAATCAACTTAGTAGCAGCCAATTGTTTCCTTCTGTACCTTGGAATGTTTTTCCTGCCTTTTTTTTTTAAACAGTCAGTCAGGGTTCACTAAGTTCTGTCAGTGTGTGAGTTATAGAGTCAGAAGTGAACAGTTAGAGTGAAGCGATCTGCTAAGAATATAACCAGTCAGTCAATAATGGAGAAAATTAAGCAGTTAAGCTCAGTAATGTAACAAGTTAACATTTCCACAAAACAAGAACTTTGTTTTTATATAAAAAGAACTGCAAGTAGAATGAAACCTTTTACAGTATTCTTTTTCATATTAGATTCTCTGAGTGAATGTATTGAAACAAATAACTGCCAACTGAGCTAAGAAATAAGGGGTGATCTACTAAGGGAAACTGTGATTCAACCTGCTGTGAAGGTTCCTGCCACAAGCATTTTTATTTGCTGCCTAATCTGAATGAAAGTTTATTATTTAATTAAAGCACTAGATTTTTTGCTCACAAACTCTGCCAACAAACCAAACCCCAACAGTATCTGCAAAGCCTAGATGGGATTACCTAATAAAACCAAGTCAACACTTAGCCAGGACTCAAAATTCAGAGTCCACTTTATTTGTAAACTACTGTACAATATATGTTTTTCTAAGTGTAGGCTGACACAGTTTGTGTTTCTTCTAAATTCCCCATGATGGGCTTGGCACAGATTAAAAATGTGTAAAATTCAAAATCTGTATATTTTCAGTATCTGAGCCAGGAGGCTGCTATGAATTTTGAATCTGGGATTAGAGCTCCATTATGTACTGCCAAACATCTCAAAATTTCAGTCCTTAACAGATGGCCACCTATATTGCATGCCAGTAGCATTAAAGCTGTTAGCAGTATCTCCTTTTGGCTTGTACTAAATCATGTTTCCGATACAAGCCCAACTGTCATTAAATACTCAAAATATTTAGGTTTCAGCTTTGGCTTAAGAACACTTTGTGCATTTAACCAAGACCCAACAGCACCTGCTCCTAGGTAATTCCTAGAAGTGATTCAGGGTAATTTTGACATTTCAGCTTCCATTTTGAGTCATAGTTTAGTGGAGATCTACAGAGAATATCCCATGCCTTGATTTGCATAGCTCATCTCTGTGGGCGACTTATCCTTCACAGCTTTGGGAACATTTTAGTCACATACGCCTGTTTCATATACCACATGTCATGTGATATGTGGTAGTTTTGGTGACCAAGTCAAATTACTAAAAGTACAATTATTAGGCAGGCAACCATACCACAATATAGACATAGACAAACTCCCATTATTTCAATCCTTCTGCATAAAAAGAAAACATTATTTTACGTTTGCATTATTTGCTTTTAATAATGTGCCTTAAGAGTCCACCAAGGTACAGTACAAGCAGAAGCTGCTCCTTTGGACCAGTTCAGGTACCTCCCAAGGTGATGGAGGTTTCCCTTGAATGCTCAAGAATCTGAAGCTAGACCTCACTCAACATTTCATTCAGGCTTCAAACTTCAGAAAGACACCCAAAATAACTTCTCTGTGGGAACCCACTCAGAGGGGAAGTAGGGTCGTGTGGGATTTAGTTCCACCTTCCAAATCATGTTAAGATGGGCTCTCCATTGCTGTTCTTTGAGAGACTACGACTTTGACATTTGCTTCCCCTTCTTCCCAACACCACCACGTTGTCCATTGAAAAAGCCATAAACTGTATTTCAAGCGTCAAAACCTTCTGCGTTATGCACCTTAATGATGAACTGCATCGCCTCTGGCCCAGAAAAACCTCAATAACCTGTGACATTTTCATGAAAATTTATCTCTCACTATCCACCTCAAAAAAAAAAAAACATTAAGGAAAAAAAGGAAGTAAATTGGTCACTATATGTTTGAAACCCTCTTCCACTTACCTTACTTACCACACCTATCTTTCTGACACTTTACAGGCTTCACTTACAGACACTTTTGTGCTGTTTGTCCTTTTCATACAATGCAGTTTCATGGCATTGGTCCTCAAAGACTGAGGGGAACTTAAGTACATCCTGTTACAGATTACCTTGCAACAGAGGGGTTGCTCATGCATACTAGTCAACATTTTTTAAGTCTTATAGGTGCCACGAGACTTTCCTTTATTCTTGCATAAAAAACAGCCCTGTACCCCCATGCATCTGTAAAAGGACATCTTTTATACTCTTAGAACAGCCAACTAGAAATTTCATCAAGTTCTTTTTTTAAAAAAACACCTATTGATAGTTCTCTTAAAAGAACAGTGTAAATATATGTACTGTGGAAAACCAGACAAACCTATTTAGGCAGATGAAAACCCCTTCCCCCACCCCCCAGGCTACTAAACCTGCAAGTTTTCGGTTATAAGAAGGAGAAGAATTAAAACCATTTTTAAAAAATATTTCCCACAAAAGTCAACAGAAGACATGATCCTTCTGATTTCCAAATCTCATTTTAGGCTCAAAACATAAGTCAAATGTGGTTCTGGACTGGCAGAAGTAAGAAGTCTCTGCAGTGCCAAACCGGGATCTGTGTACATCCCTACTTGGTTTCACCTGGATCACCAGTTCCACTACTTCCTCACTGGCCATAAATTAATGTTAATTTGTAAGTTCCCACTTCCTCTTCTTAGGATGTTTAGTATGATCCAGTGCTTTTAGAGGAAATCAGACACGTGCCACCTATGGACATTTATTTCCAAAGCAGTCTTAAGAATCCAGGCACTCACTAGGTGAATAAAATTAGTAACCCTACACAAGTGGAAGGCAGTCAGCAGTATATGATGGGAGAGGGAAACCCTGTTTCCCCAAAAATAAAACCGAATCTGAAAATAAGCCCTAGTTAAGCAAAACCCCGTCCCCTGCCATTGTGCAACAACCACAATGTATGTGTTTTTGAACTGTATTTGACTGTATTTGAATAAATGTAGATTGCTGTACATGAAAAAATGAAACATCCCCTGAAAATAAGCCCTAATGTGTTTTTTGGAGCAAAAATTAATATAAGACCCTGTCTTATTTTCAGGGAAACATGGTACTCCTTTCCCCAGAGTCTCCTGTGTCCCCTAAAATCTGTATCAGAAGACACGCTTCTCACGAACCCTCTCTGCTCCACTGACAGGGGCTCTCTGCCAGCAGAGGGATGGTAGCTTAATACCATGGGCCTAACTAGTTACTAGCAGAACAATTACGCGGCAGGACACATCCAGATCAGCAGTTGGAAAGATTCTGCTTGTGATAAAGAATGAGAGTCTTTCCTACTCCATTTCCCCATATAGCCCTCTGTGCCACCTAAAATGTGACTCTAGAGGGCTATCTAAGAAGAGCATCTGAAGAGCAAGGACATATACAGAGAAGGTTGGATGAAATTTGTGATGATCCCTGGCCACCTCTTCCCTTCAGAGGAAATCTCCTGCTGAATCCCAATAACTTACGAAAACAGAATGGCCAAAAGAATCCAAAAAGAATGAGGAGACAGGGGAAGTACCCCAAACCTTTCCGGTGGTGGCGTTAGGAATGGTTCATGCACAAATATCACCAGTAGAGAGGGCTGCTCTCTGCATCCTCAAGAAATATTCCCATATTCTTCTCCCTTGCATGGATCCGCAATTTACAAAGTAAATTCTGCCCACAGTTAGGTGGCAATACTGAAGGCCATGAACTACGTGTTTATCATATCTATTTAGACACTTGCTTGTAAGAATCCTTTCAAACCTCCCAGTTCTTATCTTGAGGATGCCACACATGGTTATTTGTTACACTTATACACCACCTATAAGAACAGCACTCAAGGCAACAAACAAATATAAACAGATTAAACCATTAAACCATTACATTATGACAACTAAAGCTATTCCAGTCATCACAATGGTAAGCAATATTGCAGACAGGCAGTTATGCCGGACATAAGCAACATCTTTCATTGTTGTTAAGGGCCATCAAGTCCCATCCTAATTTAAAAACCCTATTAGGATTTTTATAAATATGGGGTATCTACAAGTATGGGTTATCTACAAGTAGGATTTGTATAGGTATGGAATATTTAAGGAATGGTTTCACCATTGTTACTACTCTAGTGAGTTTCCATGACTGAGCCAAAGGCTCCTGAATCCTAATCCTTGCATGCAGCACCACAGTGGCTCTCACCGCTTCCTACTGGGTGTACAGGTCAAGAAAGTACCCGTGTAACTCAAAAGGGCCAGTCTAAAAGGCTTTACTATTATGTGGTCTCTTTACTCACAGAGTAACACAAGTGCTCATGTTTCTAAAATTGGCACTTATTCCACACAAACCCGGGGGGGGGATTCTCAACCTCATGATATTTTGAGTGGCCTTTTAGGCCAGATGGGCGGGGTATAAATCAATAACAATAACAATAACAATAATAATAATAATTTATTGTCATTGTAAGTATATACACATACAACAAAATTCACAGACACCCAGAGACCAGACACATGCACACACATAAAATTCCCCAAACACACCCCACCCACTAAAAGTCCCCCACTAAAAATACAAACATCTACACCTCAGGCCAAGTAACACAGTCCAACTAATTATTCACTACTGGTGGTCTTTAAGCTCATTATTAATTGCAATTATAGCTCTGGGATAAAATAAAATAAATAAAACAAATAAATTTTGCTGTACTTCTCTTTGTAGATCACCGTAATGGACCCACTAAGACTCATGTCCCACTTTTGTTCATTCACACATAAGCAGTTCAATGGCTCGGCTTGTCATCTGCTGTCATGTTGGAACAGACAGGGACCCTAATAGGGCTTTTAAGGAGTGTTTTTTACCAGCGTCACTCCCTCACCCCCCATGGGTTTTCCATAGTTGAGTAAGGATTTGAATCCTGGCCTCCCGAGTCCTAGTCCCTTACTCTAGCCCCTACACCACACCGGGTATCCTCAAAGGCTCCTACTCCCAAGGAAGTAAGCACAGAGCTGTAGCCATTCCCTCATAGGCACACTTACTAGGAAACGAGGGATTAAGCACAGAATCAACTTTTTCTGAGAAAGCCACGGAATGGAAACAGTGGGAAACCTACATTTTAAAGACCAAGACCTGTGCGTTTAGAGATAGTCAGTTTTCCCTTCTGCTCCTCAAACTAACGTCCTCTGACCCCACTCCCTCTCTGCCCACGCCCAGACTACACAAAAGCTTTGCAAAAGCCCCCTTCGCCAGAGGCTGGGCTGCTAAAGACTCACAACGACGACGACCTCACATCCCTAATCGGTGGAAACGTAGCGCAAAGGTAGAAATGCACTCTCGCTTTCCAGCTGCAGGGAGGGAGGTTTCGCCTCGGCAGGACAACCGCCCACCCACTCACTCACTCACTCACTCACTCAGGGCAGGAACGCCTACCTACCAGCCAGTCTCTCTCCGCACCCGGCGCTCTTCTTGTCCGCAGCAGCCTTTGCACTTTTCTTAGGAGGTTTCGCCTCGGCAGGACAACCGCCCGCCCTCACACCCCGGGCAGGAACCCTACCTACCAGCCAGTCTCGCTCCGCACCCAGCGCTCTTCTTGTCTGCAGCAGCCTTGCACTTTTCTTACCTCGCGCTCTTCATTTATAAGCCCCGCCTTCGGAGCGAGACTCCGCCCTTCTTCGTAACAACCAATCGGGAGGCGGGGGGGGAAGAAAGGCTCCTGCCGCCCACTCATGGGTCCACCTGAATGTTGATGTGCTCCGCGGAGGTCTATAGTTTCCTAGGTCTGATGGAACGTGGGATTCTGTTTATTTAAATACAGCGCAGGTATTCTAGTCCCAGGTGTCCCTCGGTGGCCTCGCTCAGAGGCTTCGACAAGACTTATCTCGTCTAACCCATTTGTTGACTCTCCTGAGCTGTCCGGACAAGTTGAGGAACAAGGGGTCCCCCACCACCACCCTTGTCTGCCCGTCTGGGGAGATACTTGAGATTAGCAGACAGTGCATTTAGGGGACAGGATGAGATGGATGGACAGGGTCATCGAAGCCACCAACATGAATTTGACCCAACTCCGAGAGGCAGTGGAAGACAGGAGGGCCTGGCGTGCTCTGGTCCAGTGGTTCTTAACCTTTGTTACTCGGATGTTTTTGAACTGCAACTCCCAGAAACCCCAGTCAGGACAGCTGGTGGTGAAGGCTTCTGGGAGTTGCAGTCCAAAACTCCTGAGTAACCCAAGGTTAAGAACCAGTGCTCTGGTCCATGGGATCATGAAGAGTCGGACACGACTGAACAACAACAAAATTATTCTCGTTCTCTCTTTCTCCCACTTTCTGTTCAGGCAGGCTCCAGACAATTGGCAGGCTGCTGAGGAAGGCACCTTTAATGAGAAAATGTTATGCCTCTAAACTTTTTTCAAATGTGCTTTTTAATTGTAAAATGTTATGCCTCTAAACTATTTTCAAATGTGCTTTTTAATTGTTTTAAATTCATAGGGGGTTGTACAATAATGGTTGAGAATGAGAATGGCTGATGGCCAGATTCCAAAGGAGCTCCTGTATGGAGAATTAGTGCAGAGAAATCGCCCCAGAGGGAGACCACAGCTGCGATACAAGGACATCTGCAAGCGGGATCTGAAGACCTTAGGAATGGACCTCAACAGATGGGAAACCCTGACATCTGAGCGTTCAGCCTGGAGGCAGGCGTTGCATCATGGCCTCTCCCATTTTGAAGAGACCCTTGTCCAGCAGGCCGAGGCAAAGAGGCAGTCCCGAAAGCAGCAAAATCAGGGAGCTGAACAGGGGACAGATTGGGTTTGTCTTCAGTGTGGAAGTGATTGTCAGTCTCAAATCAGCCTCTTCAGCCACACTAGACACTGTTCCATACAGAGCACATTACCATAGTAAAAAGCCGCCCAGAGACCTTTGGGTAGAGTGGGCGGCATATAAATTAAATAAATAAATAAATAAATAAATAAATAGTCTTTCGAGACTGAAGGACGTCTAACTGTACAATAATGTTTAATTGCTCTTAATACTGTAATATGTATTTTAGCTGCATTTGCTTATTAAATGTTTGTTTATGCAATAATTATAAATATGTTATCAGCTGTCTTGAGTTCCTCTAGTTGGAGGAAGGCAACATATAAACAAAATGAATTAAACTGGTCTGGCGATATTTGGTGATCGGAGAGAACTGGGTGCAGGGAGACCTTGTTATACACACAGCAGCTTGCTTTAAGTTCTATTCCATTTGAACTGTTTTCCCCCACAGAATTCTGTGTAGTAGTTTTGGAAAGGAGCTGAGAAACCTCCTTTAGAGGTTCTCAAACTACACTTCCCGGGAAGCTTTCGGGACACCTCTGGCCACTGAAGTGGAATAAAACTGGGAAAATAATTCTTCATGGATATTTATTTATTTATTTATTTGATTTATTTGATTTATATCCCACCCATCTGGTCTGGTCGACCACTCTGGGCAGCTTACAATAAAGAATATACAATAAACCATAAAAAATTTAAGAAACAGACTGTGACATATGCAATAATAGAACAAAAAATAAATGAGAAGAAAAAAGAAATTAAGTATTGACAGGAGGGAAGGCCTGAACGTACAGCCATGTCTTTAGTTGTCGCTTAAAAGTACCCAGCATAGGGGCCACACCTTCTGGGCCTCCCTCGGCGTTAGGCTCTTCAGCCTCACCTCCTGGCTCGTGCGGGTGATCCAAGTAGATCTAGGTGGAAGCAGGCAGAAAGAGATAGGAGTAGGGGAAAGAGAAAGGGCAGAGTGGGTGATAAATTTTCTTGATCAGTTATGGCAAGCCACAATGAATGTGAGTTTCAAGGAAGACTTCATTAATTTTTACTTCAAAGCCCAAGAAAGGTTGAGAAGAATGAGAATTCTGAAGTTACAAAAGAAATTGAATCCTGTTGATAACATCTCTTTTGCATTATCAAGCTGTTTGGTAGCTGCAAGAGATAGATATATAGATACCAAATTCAATAATTATATTAATATCTCTGACATCAAAGGGAGAGGCAAAATGTCAGTGGTGATAGTAACAAAGAAGCAGAAAGTGGTATATATCACCCTGACCAGATATTTTGTTAGTGGAAATATGGTGTAGCAGAAAAAGCTTGAATCCATGTCTAAGATGTAAATATGACAGGCTGTTCTCTTCTATACACACCAAAGTATTTTAGGAACACTGAAAACCCAAAATGCAATTTCCAGGAGAATGGCACATAATTTCTGTTACCTCTAATGGAGCCTAAGGAAAACACAACTTAAAATAAGTTATTGAAACACAGGGGGAAAAAGGAGATGTGCATGATTGTTGTAACACACTCCCTAAGAGAAAATACTTGCAAAGGTATTTGTGACTGTTGATTTTTTTTGGGGGGGGGGAAGGTAGACCTCACTTTGATAATTTGGATCTACTGGTATCGCAAGAGCTAAATAGTTTAGACCTCCTTTAGGTCTGCATTCCAGCTGCTTGCTACTCTATTGATCCCATTGCATCAACATTGCAATCAGGAACTATAAAGCAGAACAAAATGCTAGTGGCAAGACCTTAGTCCTTACTGGTGAGTCCATGGCCTCAATGTTTCATTTTCTTGATGTAACAGAACTTACAGGAAAAAGTACTGTACATAAGAAACATTTCTGTTAATTTGTATGTTACATCAAGAAAATGAAACATAGGTTTTGTTCTTTGTCATATTCACACTTTAGATACAGTTTTCATGTGCTTCCATCATTGAGGTTATAGACACACCAGTAAACTATCTTGCCTCCCATGGGTTTGATCTTGCACAGCTTTAGCAAAATCATGTAATTGTTGTTGGTGATGGGGCCAATTTAATGACACAAAGGAAATCAAATGTTGTTCAGTGCCTTGTGGACCCAAGTGAGATAACCTGGGACACCCTCCAGCCCCCATTCCAAAACTAACACACATTACTAATGTCAACAGCTTTATTAAAGGATTGATACTGGATATAAAAAGGCCACTCCTTAGATTGGCCTTGGCAGCAGAGTATTGCCATAGGATAAGGAGCAGATCCCTAGATCAGATGACCTGTTATCATCCCAGCACATTACTTAGTTACACAGAAGTGTTGGCAACCTATATTTAAAATTGCCACAAAAGTTGGCTGGGCCCCTGCTGGCTGATAAGCTTCCCACCAAACTACTGCTGCCATAGCCACTACAATATCTCTGCCTGGATATCCCACATCCAGATTTCCTGACCACTGTCTAACAAATGCACGCTGTTATCCAAATAGAAATCTGGGTTTAAATAAGCAATGCCCAAATGATGAATCCATAAACTGCCCCCCCAACGGTGTGGCCCCCCACCTGTGTGACTTTCCATCATGTCAAATCTACTCTTCCCTGGATGCTCAGCCTTGCATCAGACACATCTTGCCAGAAGGTCCAACCATATTAGGCATCAGCGGCAGGTCTTCCTCCCTAGATAACATCAAGTCTTACATATTGGGAGGTCATGTTTCTCCTAGGTAGAGCAGCAGCTCCTCAGATAGCAGGCACATCTTCATCATGGGCATCAGCAATGCCCAGTACATCCGCTTGAGGTCACACCATCCGACATATATCTGATCTCCCAATCCAAAATGGGAACCTCATTCTGCTCTGGACACATACGGTTTGGCCCAGTACACAATACAGAGCCCAAATAGCTGTATGCACCACACTGACTGTAACTGAAGAAGAAGAAAAGGGAAGAGTGGTGGTTTTTTTTCCTAATGATAAAATGCTGGCTGTGGCCTGATGTACCTTTTTTACACAGCTGGCCACCACTGGCCTGATGCCTTGACATTGTCCTGTGGGAACCCTAACTACAGGCTTGGTTACACTGTTGAATTGAATCATGATCTGGTTTGTGTTTTTTAGATCAATATAATGCCACGTGTTGAGCCATGGCAACTGGACTTCTTATTAGGCTGAAATGTTTCACTATTCATCCAAGTAGCTTCTTCAGTCTGGGGAGAGTTGGTAGGAGATCCCTGATGTGGTATTACAGAAGTGAGTACACCCCCTCACATATCATAAATACAGTATTTTAATATAACTTTTCATGTGACAACACTGAAGAAATGACACGGCTACAATGTAAAGCAGTGAGTCTCCAGCTTATATAACAGTGTAAATGTGCTGTCCCCTCAAAAGAACACAACACACAGCCATTAATGTCTAAACCGCTGGCAACAAAAGTGAGTACACCCCTAAGTGACAATGTCCAAATTGGGCCCAAATAGCCATTGTCCCTCCCCGGTGTCATGATACCCGTTAGTGTCACAAGTCTCAGGTGTGAACGGGGAGCAGGTGTTATCACTCTCACTTTCCCAGACTGGTCACTGGAGGTTCCATATGGCACCTCCCACCAGGGAGGGAAAATAGCTACTTGGGCCAAATTCGGACATTGTCACTTAGGGGTATACTCACTTTTGTTGCCAGCGGTTTAGACATTAATGGCTATGTGT